TCAAGTTTAATCAGAGAGATGATGAGTGAAGGCAATGCCTGATATCCGCAACCATGGCAGTCAGAACCTAGGTGGTCTGCAGGTGAGGCGATATTGTACATGCTACTGAAGGCTTGAGAAATAGCGTCTATAGTAAATAGTACACTAGGGCTAGAACCGAATGATATCTTTGATTCATAAAGATAATAAACTTATCTACGGCCCCATGCAGCAGATCCGGATAGGAGGTCCGAGTCGGGCCAGCCATTCGAAAGGGGGCGAAGGCAAACAGCAAGTGTGATGACGACACTGTAAATTTGCCAAAAGGGTACACCTCTGGAATAATGGACTATAGACAAGTCAGATGTTGTGATATGACGAGGGCGACGAAAGAGGGTAGAAAATAGAAGTGATGATGACAATAAAAGTGATAGCACAACCTTTTTGACAGCACGTTGGCCAAGGGATTAACCTTACTTTTCTCTGACGCGTTGTAGTTTAGTGTTGAAACTGGCAAAACCCTCTGACGATGCCGACTAGATGTCTGCGAAACTTAGAATGTACCAAGTTCGAGGTCCTACTCTGGAAATTCTCATACATACTATGGACTCCGGCCAAGATTCGTTTCTCTAGATCTTCCTGCAAATATGATCACGTTGCGAAAACAAAATCATACAACTACTATATCATTATTTTACTTTACTTAATTTGGGTTTTTTAAATGACCAACCACATTATACGATCGATCCCGACCGCTTGAAGTGATATTTTTTCTTTATTTGATGTGCACCTGATCTATTTTACCTTTGGTCCACAGCTTCTCCTGTCGTAGGCGGTATTCAGCCTTCCTGTCGGTTAGCCGTAATGCGAACTACTGGATTTAACCAGCCGGCGGGCCCTTCTGTAGCTTCAGCCTCATCCTACGCTTCATCCAACACCACAGCTGCTTTTGGCATTGGGAAGCGCTACTTGCTTGTAGGCGGCTCTTCTCTCATACCTTCGCCCACTACTGCCGCATTTGGCAGTCTTGAAGGCTCCGAGTCGATCGAGCTCTCTATGACCGGTACAAAGCCGCCGGTGGGTTAAAAGCAAGTGTTTTCATTACGTTCAATATAAATTTGACCAGAATTATGTAAAGTCAAATGAATATAATTTTCTGGCATTTTCTACATAATTATTAAATTATACTGACTGTTTTCATTTTTGGTTATTCTTTACTCTTATTGCTCTTATTATCTCGCCCCATGGAATTCATCTTTCGTAAGCTCATTTTTCTCTCAACTCGTTTCGGTTTATCTGAACATGAATTATGCTCCTCCATTTAAGGATTAACGAGTTATATTTCGTGATACTTTGCATAACTTTGCTTGCTTTGACTATTTGGCATATCCATTTATTTCCCCGATAGAACGAAACAAGCTTTTGCATTCTCAGCTATTGACTTTGCTTAATCTCAAGCGAATGCACAATTTTTTTAATAGTCACATTATTATAAGATGATGTATTCACTTAAGGAAAATTTCGTATTAATAATGATTCATATTTTTACTTTGGCCATAACAGACATTATTATTATAGTGAGTTTGCTAAGATGCATCGTGTACACGCTGACGAGAAGGATTTGTAATCCATTGCGCGATATCTAATCGCATATAGGACGACCAAGAATGCGTGATTGTAATCTTTCG